ATTGATGATTCGAGGGGTAGTTTTATGAATACTAAGATTTGGGAATACGTTTGCAAATACTCATGATGTAAGGGGTATATATGCAAACATAGTTTTATGTAGGGTAAATTTCAAATTGATGATTCGAGGGGTAGTTTTATGAATACTAAGATTTGGGAATACGTTTGCAAATACTCATGATGTAAGGGGTATATATGCAAACATAGTTTTATGTAGGGTAAATTTCAAACTTTAAAATATCCTAACAGGCCCTCCACTTTTGTGTAGGAAATAGGTGATTGTCGTGTGGAAAATTTGAAAGTTTAAGCAAGGTTCTTGGTCACCCCAAAGTTGAGGGGGATCTCGGGGGAAACTCTAAAAAGTCTGGAGAGGTTTTGTGAACTTTCTTTTATTTATAGAAATGGCTTATATAAAAGTTTCATAGAACTATAATAGGAATGCATGATAGTCCTCGGAATAAATAATGTTGATGCTTGCAAAAATTCAAGAGCCTAAGACAAAATTATTATATAATAATAATAATAAACTCAAGATATTGAACATTATAAAATGGCTAATAATTGGAGAAGAGTCATGTGAGAAGAAGAGACATCCACAGAAGAGTCAAGGACACTTTGTTCAGAGACACATCCAGTACGAGCTGGCAGTCTGACACTACAGATTTTCAGTGATCAGAGCACAGGCTGCTCTCCTCCTAACAGACACCATCAGCATCTCGGCCAGAGATTCTGGACAAAATTTAATTACTTTTCAGAAAATTAAATTTAAAAAAAAAACAGCTACAGACCATAATTTTCCTAAAATATAAAGTCAGCTACAAACCATAAGTTGTATAAAAATGGGAACAAATTTCCTATAGAGACGTCCGTGTAGAAAATAATATAGATAGGAGGTGGGAACCAAGATGCTTGCTTCGTTATCAATTTTAAGTCGGTACGAATATGAAATAATATCAATGCAAGCACTAAAACTCGATTTAAACAATTAAAATATCAGGGCAAAAGAGATTTTGTACCAATACTAATAACGTAAAATCATTGCACAGAAGACAATTTAGCTATCGCCTTCTCTACATGATTTCAATAGACCTCTATGTTATTTCTCCCTTCTAAAAGATTCAGGCGTGATGATATCTGTCAGATAAAACTCCCTTAGGTGCTCCGCTACAATTGATACAGATAGAACTCAAGACACAATATTAAGTAGGGTTTTGGTCAATAGAAACACGAGGTACTTCACAAGGGACACAAGGCACAATCCAGAAGGAGGTTTCAAGGAAATTTCATTCCTGTCAGAAAACAAGCATGTAGGCAAAGTACCAAAAAGTACTAAAATCGGTACATATTTTCCAATCACGGCACAAAATGAGTAACATTTGAAACAGCTAAATTTTGCCCCATATTGCCAATGATCAGTTTTTCCCTTAACAAAGATGCAAAAAAAAAAAAAGATGAATTCCATGAAAGAGTCTTCTTACATTTTCTCACATTTGCACAACTAGCATTCAGTTCCGGCGTTGCTCAACTCCTGTTCTTCTTCTTTGTGATTTGAGATGAGGACCTGCTATGTCGTGGTGGTCGATTGAGCTAGTAACCTGGTGTGATTGTGCTCGCCCTCGTATGTGACGATGAGCATCGATGGGTCATCTACGCACCTTTCCACATGCTTTCGGGCAGGGCACCCCCTCATGCTGCTGCATTTATAGTACCCCCTGGAGAGAGAGAGAGAGATGTTACGTTGGTATGCATGTGAGTTGGCTCTCATTGCATTTGCTATTTTTGGAGAAATTAGTTATAGATGCCAAAAAAGAATGCATCAAGATAGTAAAGCTAAAAAGTCAATCAGAAATAAATGTGTATACTACCAATAGGAATTCTAATGGAGATCTGGAAAAGGTCGGAGCAATTTGATAAAATATTAGGCATGTTGTAAAGAGAAGGCACCTAAAGAGGTTGCAGGAAACAAATCACATTTTGAAAATTCACGAATGAACTCAATGTATTTCTCTCCAATCAACCAATCAAATGCTTGGGGATGGATTTGGCCTTCCCGTCTGCAGAAAAGGTATCAAGTCATTTATGGAGATTAGGGCATTTGAGAATGATTTGAGAATCACATTTTCGCTACAAAGAACAATAACAACTTGATTTCAAGCAGGAAGCTCAACATAATTCTCAACTTCCTCTGGCAACGGTTAATGAACCTACTCCTCAAGTAATAAAATCCAATCCCAACTTATACCACGACCAAATTAATGCATGTCATAATACTCACAAAGGAGGTATTTAATTAACTTCCTTGTAAAGAAACATAACAATCACAAACATGGACGTCATTAATTGAAATAACTAGAAATTTTTTTGAGAGAAATCAATAGGCAAATTCCTCATACCTAGGATGCGGAGAACCCTTGATTGGCTTTTGCCCGTACTTCCTCCATGAGTATTCATCAGGAGGGATATCCGCTAGCTTGTTACTTATAGCAGGCACCTTGATCGACCTCTTCACTCTCAGCTTCCTACATTACAAGAAACAAAACTCTCCGTCAAATTCAGTGATTCAGAAACACAACAAATGAGTCAATTTACTTAAATTTGTTCACAGCTACTAAAATTCTACCTCCTCTTAGAACAATGGCACCTCCCGCTAGTTGCACATTTGCCATTTCCATCTTCTCCTCTTCCAGTACACCTTCTCTTTGGTGGAGGGTGAAGAGTCACGGGCTCCGATGACTGAGATCCACCGATGAGCTGAAATGGTTTTCCTTCTAAACTTGCTACACTCCCATCCATACTAAGCGAAGATAAGAAAGATCTCGTCGATGACACAGTCGGAGTACAGCTAGAGTTATCGAACTTGAGGTTTATGCCACTGCTGCTCCTCTTGAACATCTCAGCTTGAAGCTTCATCTGATGCTGAAAATGCTGAAATCTCTGGTGGGTGCTCTGCTGCTGCTGGTGCTGTAAATACTGAAAATGGTGGGAATGGGAAGAGGAAGAATTGTGATGTTGCTCGAGCATCGGGTTCTCGAGAAACATCTTGTGAGAGAACTGATGGTGATGATGAGGGGGTTTAGGAGTTGAATCCAAGTCTGGGGTTGAGATTGTTAGGAGAGTTCTTGGGATGAGTTGAGCTGGGTTGGGAATTGATGTGGTTTGTTTAGATGCTACTAATGGATTGTCTAAAAATATCTTGTGATTGAATGAATGGGTCTTCTTTGATTTTCTCACTCTTGCATGGCCCACTCCATTACCAAGCAAAGACACAACTTTTCTGAACTTGGAAACAGCTTCTCCAGTTTCCACCATTAGATTTCTATACTGAACTTGATCTTTGGACTGAGACAAATGGCTGAGAACCCTGTGGCAGCTCTCAACAGCTGCTCTGTTAGCTTCTTCAACTTCCTCCATCTTCATAGAAACACCCTAAAATAGCCAAAATCTCAGCAGCAAGAGCATTTGAAGCCTCCCAGAGTAAGATTCACAGGTCCAATCTCAAATACCCCTTCAAGGGTCTGCAATTAAAACGAAACAATTAAGACAGAACCCATATCATATTTTGCGAAACTGATCGTGCTAAAAAGTAAAACATTAAAGAGCAAAATCCCATTGAAGGAACAACGAGCTAATAAAACCCAAGTCAAAAACTCAAAACCCAACAAAGATGGGACCTTTCATTGCTAGCTTGAAATCATTTCACCCAAGGATCAAAACCCATATCATGATTTCGTACTTTAAAGCAGGAAAAAGCAACCAACTCCCAACAAAATCATCAAATTCCAATAAAAGTCCCAAAAGGGGGAAAAGAACTGACCTTGGATTCGTTTTGTAGAAACCCTAGAGAGTTGGGCTTCCCATGGCTGCCCAAGGATCGGAAGGTGTGAAGGGGAAGACCAAAGTCTAAAGAAAATTGCCATCATTTACTATTATTGTACTCCAATTTTATATTCAGGGGGCTCCAGAGAAAAAGAAGACCAGGGACTAAAATATTAGATTCTCGCTTGATTGAGGGGGCGCATTAAAATATTCCACAAAGAATGTCCGTGTGTAGTGCTTACACTGTGGCTCAGCATCACGATCAACGGTCTTGATCTGTTGATTTCAGATGTGGGCCCCGCGCAAAGACTTTGGTTTTTATTTTATTTTGTAATTTGTTTTTATTCGGGGTTTTCGTCAAAATGTCCGTCAGAGGGGTGGGGCCCGCTTTTGGGGTAGCCCTAGGTAGCCGTTGCCAGCAGCGAGGGGCACGTTACGGGTGTGCTTCTGTTGACCGAAGCAGCTTTCATCGCAGCTTTTTCTGGAGGGTCTTAACGGGTTAAACGCATGCGGTTACGGACCCGATAAGGAAACTTCGATCCGGTTTAATTAATTTTGCCGCGAGTGCGGACACGTTGACTCAAATCTTACACCAGGGTCCGGCTGGAATTCTTTTACTTTGCATTTCTTTCCCTTTTTTCCCCTTTTTATCTGGAGGGTACCTTTGAGGACAGACATTTCAAATTTTAAATCCTAGATTTTCTAAAAAATTTCAATTTTTAGCTTTTACTCTCGCTTTAATGATCCTGTTTCTACCTTTGAAAATGTTGTTATCAAGTGGGAGCAGTATTTAAATCATGAAATTTTTACACAATGGTGAAATGCAACTCCTATCTCTCTCCTCTTCTATAAGAGAGGTAGAATTTAGGATTGATAGAATTAAGTTGCAAGTACCGGCATCAAGCCAAAAATACTTAAAAATTCAATTTATTCTATCGAAAATAAAAAGAGAGGACGTTTATATAATTATATATATATATATATATTTACATTTCTTTTCTTTTTTCGAAAATAAAAAGAGAGGACGTTTATATAATTATATCCCCTCTCCAAATATTTCCTTTAGCTGCATCCACTCAAATTCTTCAATGTTCTACAATATTCTGGTGGGTGCGATGTGTATGATTCATCAGACGGAATTTAGGATTGTAGTCAAATCATCAATGGAACCGAGAGATACCTAATAAATAGATTAATGGATACGTTGCAAATTTATGTTTCCCTTAAAAATATATATCTACACTATGTCCATAAAAGGAACAATATCTATGATCTTACCCAATATCGGATTTATTCTTTAACAAAATGAACCGTTGTTTCATTGTTTGAGTCAATATCATGGATTAAGCTTTTTTTTTTTTAAGGGAGAAATTGGGTCTGACCGAGAGTTAATGGGTCTTACGTAGATGATACGAACAAATCTTAACTTAAAAGCTATAACTCTTTAGTATTAGCTCCAACTACTATTTTTTACACATGACTTTATCTTATCCTATCCATATTAATGACATTGTTTTAACCAAAAAAACAATAGTTCTTAGGTATTGAAACCAACTATTATTTTAATCACATCACCCTTTCTTATTAGGAAAATGATAAGGGCACACCTTCAACCACACCTCCAACCACACCATCCTCTCTCATTTGTTATAGTGCATCGGGTCCCATATGAGATTTTAAAAATTAAAATCTCATGTGGGGCCTGGTGCACTGTAGCAAATGACAGAGTGTGTGTGGTTGGAGGTGTGGTTGAAGGTGTACCCCTAGTGTCACCCTTCTTATTATATTCATATTGGGAACCTCAATCTCTTTTTTTATATATATATAACTATAATATATTATTTATGGAGAGGGAAATCATGTCCAACATAGAATCATTTAATGATTCTTAAATAGACGTAGAAATTAATTTTAACTTAAAAGCTATAGCTCTTATTTACTAGCCCCAACTACTACTTTAAACACACTATTCTTTCTTATTCTATCTAGGGCATGTTCGTTTGTTTTCTAAAACCAAGAAATGGAAATGGAAATGGTGAAAATCTCAAAACTCACCATTTCCTCCATTTCCATCCCTAAAACTCACCCACAACATCCAATAAAATATTATTTTCATCCAACAACTCATCCACATCATCTAATAAAATATGATTTTCATCTAACCACTCATCCATCACATCTAATAAAATATTATTTTCATCTAACAACTCATCAATCACATCTAATAAAATATTATTTTCATCCAAACATCACTCAACTCATCTCTTCTCATCATTTCAAATCACTCACATCATCCAATAAAATATTATAACAATTCACCTTATCTCATTAACATTTTATTTCTTTTCAAATCACTCACATCATCCAATAAAATATTATAACAATTCACCTTATCTCATTAACATTTTATTTCTTCATTTTCATCCCAAAAAGTTATGAAAACACTTTTCTTAATTTTTCTTCACATCACCCAATAATACAATGACAACTTATCTCATCTCATTTCATTTCTTATTTTTAAGAATGAACCGAACAAAAGAAAACAAGAAACTACAGGAAATTGGTTTCTTATAATTCATTTCCTTATTTTTTTTCGCCAACCGAACACTCCAAAACTAGTTTTCTTAAAAAATCACAAACCAATAATAAGGTGACAACTAACATCATTTCAATTTCATTTCTTTGATTTCCTTCTTTTTTAGCCAACCAAACACTCCAAAAACAATTCTTCATTTTAATAGTTTTCCATTTCTTTGATTTCCCTCAATTTTTTAGGCAAACGAACAGGCCCCTAATGTGAAACTATACTCACATATTAATTACCTCATATCTTTTAGTTTTTATTTTCAAACATATTTCAAATCCGTCTTAGGTAATTTTGTCATCTGAAATCAATGGAACGTGAAAAAGAATATCTTATAAAAGATAAAGCCTGATGTTTTAATGAGTGGAGAGAGATATATTATCTACTACGTAATGAAACGCCAAGTGGTCAGCCTAATTGCATTTGGGCGTAGACCCTTTTGGAGCTAACTGGTTGAGATGTCTTATCCCCAGACTGGTAGTGTTCATCTTAAAGCTCTGGGCAGAAAAATTCTTGCTTGATTTTACTCTCACAATCACGAAAAACTTGTGTTGTTTTCATTTAAACTAATATTAAGGCTAAATGGCACTTAAATAGTTAAATAACCTATTATTTCACCATCTTTACATTTAAATACTTCTAAATTGTAAAAAGTAATATTTTTATACCCTAAGTTATAAAAGTTTGGCGCATTACTACTTTAATATTTGTCAAGGAAATATTCATATGAATATTTATTGACAACAAGCAGAAGGTATTAAAGTACTAGTTTCTTACAATTTAGGGTATTAAAGTGTCATTTTTTACAACTTAGAATATTAAAATACTACTTTTTATAATTTATAATATTTAAGTGTAAATGCGGTGAAATAATAGGATATTTAAGTGCCCTTCTTTTTTTATAAATCAGAGTATTAAAGTACTATTTTTTTACACCTTAGAGTATCAAAATACTACTTTTTACAAGTTAAAGTATTTGAAGTATAAATGTAGTGAAAAACCATAATATATCTCACACGACTCAGTTATCTCCTATCCAATGTGGGACTAATTAATTAACCTTTCTAGTTGTTTTGAAATACTATTTAGAACTCCTACAAATACAACTAAAACAACTACTAAACATGTATAAAACTATCTGTCATGAGAGAGAAAGAAACGCAAAAAAAGTAGATAAGACACAATCGCAAATCTAATATTTTTTTGCTAATTAGCTTTCAAAAGAGATACCGTCTTAAAAATTGTACGAACAACGCTGGCGAAAAATCTTTCTATGCACTCTCCTTCATTGTTTTCAGTGAGCAGACTGAACTTTTCTGAACTACAAAATTTATTGGTTTTTGATTGAATATTCGAACAACAACTTGTATTTTATGTTACACAATTTAAAACTTCGAGTTTGCTGATTAGTGTCACAAGTCTTTTAAGAGAAGGCTTATAGCGCAAATTTTCAACTTCAAGTCCTCAATAACTAGATAATTGAGCTGANCCCCCCCCAGCCAATAAACTCATGCTAATATTAGGGAATAATATGATTTTAGGCCGCGTCCTTAGGTGGGAGCCTAGAGTGTCACATTAGATTCACTTTTCCCATATATATATATATATATATATATATATATATATATATATAACTCATGCTAATATTAGGGAATAATATGATTTTAGGCCGCGTCCTTAGGTGGGAGCCTAGAGTGTCACATTAGATTCACTTTTCCCATATATATATATATATATATATATATATATATATATATATA